CACATCTCAGCATTATGAAATTTTACATTAATCTCAGAAGTAAGTCAAGTAATTTTCTGTTTTAAGTTTTTCCTAAGTTAAGTAATTTTTTACTTTATATAGTTTCCTTCCAATAACTTTATTATTACTGTTTTTTTTTGTCGGTCGTGGGGTCTGAACTCTTCTTGGGCCTGGGCGCTGTCCCTCAGCTCTTCAGCTCAAGGCTAGCACTCTACCACTTGAGTCACAGCACCACTTCCAGCTTTTTCTGCTTATGTGGGGCTGAGGAATTGAACCTAGAGCCTCATGCATGCAAGGCAGGCACTCTACCACTGAGCCACCTTCCCAGCCCCTTCCAGTAACTTTAAAAAGATGTTTGATTTAACAATTTCAGTTTGCACTGATATAAATGCATATACATTCTTATTTGAAAATACTTAAAACTAAGATTACAGTAACATTTAAAGCACTGTAGTTGAATCTTAATGCATTATAAATTTAAGAATGTAAAAATCAAGTATGTTTTTGTAACTTTAATTGTACAAAGGTTTCAATTCATACATGTTTTAAATAAGAATTTGAATATTTGAAATATTGCTTGGACCTTCTGTGATGTTTTGAACAAATTCAATTCAAATAAATTTTAATTGTAGTTTTAAGGAGCAAACTACTTACAAAGTTTTAAAAAATTCAAATAATAAATTAGTCATTGGTAATGAAGATGCAGTAATAGTGGTAACAAAGTAGAAGTATCTTCAAGATTATCTAAGTGGTTCCTCGCTATTCTGAAAGGTTTATGCATAATGGCACATAGCTTGTCTATAGGGAATAATAAGAAGTTAGGGTATTTAGGAAAAAATTATTAGAAAGTCCTAGTTTTCTATTTCAGTAATATAGTTTATCTGGGTACTGTTGTAAGCCAACTTTAAATTCTCAGAAAGTTTTAAGGACATGTCATATCTAATATTAAATATTGAGTAATTATCTAATAAGCCATTTTATGTCTTCATTATTTCATTTAGATCTTTGTGTTTCTCTTGCAGTTTTCATATTTTCACTTATTTTCATAATTGTACCAAAAATTTCAGTAGGATCAAAGGCAATTAAAATAGAAGCGCAGAGATCTGTCTGTGTACACAAATCTATTTAATTTGTAGTTAAAATGATGTTTTTGAATCCCTGTGATTTTTTTACTGTAGTGGGGCTGACATATTAGAACTAGTTTACCAATGAAGAAAATAAAACCACCAAAGTGTTGAAATGAAGGAATGTGTTGTTACTGTTTTATTTTTATAAAGAGGGAAAGGGCCATTCAAAATAGGCTCTCACATGAGGGATGCTTAGCACTGTCTTCTAAACCAGGTTGGTGATATGATATGCTCACAAAAGTTGATTTTTTTTTTTTACATGCTGTAAGTTGGTGGTCTTGGTCCTTTTATCTAAAGAACCCATGATAAAATTAGATTTTGAGTTGTTCATCTTAGGCAGAAGGATTTAGGACTCACTGGTAAAGAACCACTAACCTGTCCTCTCACCCCAGGGTGTGCACACTGAAAAGGATTAAGGCCCACTGTAGGGAAGCTTGTACTGAAGCCTGTACTGCCCTTTCCTCTGTTCTTTCAGCTAAACAGAGTTTTAGTTCCCATGACTATCAATCTGGTGCTTTCAGAAGTATTAAACTCTTCTAAGAAAATAAGATGACTTATTTTTAGAACCTGGCCCAGAAAGATATGTTTCAGTGATATTTCATGTTTATAGATCCTATACATACTGTTTTTTTCTGATGCATATTTATTTGCTTTAACTTATTTTTGAAAATGAAGAGAAAATGTAATTATTTGAAATTGAGTGACAGATTTTTATACTATCAGGTTGCTTCTCCAGATAATAATTATAGAGTTTGACGTGCTAAATCTTAACATTTCATTAGAAATAGCTATCTGACAACCTTGTGGACATAAACTCTTAACTTTTATATTTAGATGATTGCAGTTATAATGTGCTTTCTTTTCATTGAAGTTTAAAAGCTTTGGAAATGCTTTTATAAATGTTGAAGTGTCATATTTTTCACTGTCTGCTAAATTGATATTGTATTTATTCTTGAAAATGTATTTTGATTTTGTTAACTTAAAATAATTGCCGAGTATTAAATGTTCTCAATAGTTAATGCTTTTTTTCCTTCATTTAATTTGAGCCTTTGTTGTTACTAACAAATAATTTGTGGCATAGTTTCTTTTCCTTCCTTTTCTCTCTCTCTCTCTCTTTCCCTCTTTCTTTCTTTCTTTCTTTCTTTCTTTCTTTCTTTCTTTCTTTCTTCTTTCTTTCCTTTTTGAATCACTGCTAGAATCTATATACTTGTCACCTTAGTGTGCTAGAAATGTTCCACTCAAATCAAGGGTTCCTTTCTGGTTTTGTATGTTCTCACCTGCTCCTCACTGTAAATCATTGAGATGTCAAGTGCAATGATTAATTAAGCTGCACGTGCAAGTGCCTTTTTTTCACCTGTCAAGCAGGAAAGAAGTCTTACAGCAAGATTAGATGTCTCTAGTTCACAGCGTTTACTTCAGACTGTCAAGTGTGAAGAAATATTGTATATTTAGATGCCTATTCAGACTATGGCATAGCAGGGTTTGTTTGGTTTAGAATTCTTAAATATTATAAGATACAATTATTGTACTAAGCCCTATCATTAAACTCATAATTAGAGGCAAAGAATAAATTCAGAATTCCTGCATAAGTAATTTGGAATTTCAGGTTTCATACTTGGTAATTGTCATTTATTCAAATACTGGTAGTCGATTTATTTAAAGTAAATGTTTTTAAGTTCATTTGTGTGTACATATATCATGAGATCTAGTCTCACTATAGTATATCATGTATTTAAACTTCTGATGAACTGATGATGGTGGTAACCTTTTTTTTCCCCCTAAGTAATAAATATTTTCAAGATGGATTAAGCTCTTTAGTCCTATTTTTTTTCCTTGTAGTTTTAATATAAAGTAGCAGACTTGGAAAGCCTGTTCTCCACTCTTTCATCACCCCTCATTCCCATTAAAACCATCAGTAAAAGTAAAACCTCAAATTGTATAGTAATCTTAATCTATTATTAAAAGGTCCTCGAAAGGAAGATTACAAGGTAGATTCAGGTTTTGAATCGGTTTTGCCATTGGTTTAGCAGCGGGTGGGCAGGCAGATGCCTGCTCATAGTAGAACCTATTGCCATTTTTCACCATTGATAGAGTAGCCTTTCAGAGTCAATGAGCTCTGTCAATGTGAGCTTGTCAAGGCTACAACTTCATAGACCTGAGAGGCGGTTTGAGAGGTCAGCCCTTTTCAGGTTCGCTGTGATGCAAATGAACTTTAATGCTTAAACAACTATTGGAATTTTTATGTCTGCTCCTTGTTCTTTTTTCTTCACAAAGTCATTGACGAGACATTCAGTGCTTTTTAAATTGGAAGTTGCATTGTGCTAAAGACCTAGTACAGATTTACGGAGGGCTGAAAGCAGTTAGATCATGTTCTTTTCATGGTGCGATTAGAATCAAATCGATTTCCCTACAGCCTTCAGCATTCAGATGGCAATTTTAACAAAGCTTGGGGGCTAGACAAGGGACAAAACGACTGAACTGAATGTTAATTACACTCTGCAGCCTTATTTTCTTTTGATTTGGAGCTGACTGGCAACTAAATTAACAAAAAGTGTGACCATAACTGCTGCCCTATTTTCATTTAAAAGGAGGGCTGCCTCTAAAAGGCTATCTTTACAAAGAAACAAGTGAGGTCCACTGATCATTGTTAACAAGGGCACTTTTTTTTTCTTTAAAATTCTTGCCAAAAAGACTGTTTGAAAAAAGTAATGTAATAAATTAGTCATTGGCATATTATTACCTAGAGAAGTAGTTGATTTTCTGATTTTTCTTACTTCAGCTTGGAAAATAGAATGCACCTAGAGACAATTTGTTGGTAGTTATGAATTATAATTGGCACCTAAATGACTTTGGTGTGTTTTTCACATGTTGATCAAGCTAACAGATAATATTGGAAATGGATTACAGTAGGTGCTTTAAATAAGTATTAGTATTTTGTTAGCTCTTCAAAACCAGCTTGATCCTCATACTTTTTTCACCTAGCTCATCCTAGCTCATCCTTTACTTGAGTATTTGATTATTACTATTTATTTACAGTTGTGCCACATGAATAGCAGTCGATGCTTTTTTCCTCCTCTTAAGGAAGTTGCAGCTGCACCAAGTAGCAAGTCAATCCTGTCTGCACCAAGTCAATCCTTGCTGCATCACTGTCCCTTTTGCACCTGCAGTGGTGTCAGCTCATCTAACACCTGGCACCATGAATTATCTTCTTTATTTATTACCCCAAGCAACTGCTCCAAGCAGCATAGTCTATATTGCAACCGTCAAGTAAACTAAAGTTCACAATTGATTGTGAAATAAGTATTAATTTTTTAAAAATTAAAATTTGACTCTGCTAGGAAAAAATATTCTTAGAATAGCCAATAAACTGGCTTTTATATATGGACATTTTAAAGTATGGTGTTCAAATTAGTTTGATTTTTATAACTTAATGATGTTTCCTTTATCTTAACAATTATTTTGATTTTGGATCTACCCTAAAGGTCATTTTCATTTTGTTAACTAATATTTAATTTGTGTTTGTTTACATATTGCTAAATACTTTTAAATTATTTAAATATTGCAAAGATATTTTCTGAAGAAGTGAGGGTTTATATATATAAATATAAATACAAATATAATTTGGTTAATGACATTATTTTTTGGCTTGGCTAGTTTTAAGTTAGAGGCCAATAGGTTTGGAACAGTGTTCAAAAGATACATATGCTTAGAAACACTATTTTCTCTCAAGTTACTATTTAGTGCTGGAACATTGTCTCAGCCCACCCTATATTCAGACACTGTCTTATACTTCTTTTCTCACAAAAAGCAGCTGCAAAACAAAGTTTTTCTAAAACCAGTCATGAGTAAACTTTTTCCTCATTTGTCTTCCAGACACGAAGATCGATTGAGAAGTTATTAGAATGGGAAAACAATAGGTTATACCACAAGGTGAGTACCACAGGGAGCAGCTTCGTACTGTTGGGGTCTGAATTGCACAGTATGGAAACAGATGCTTTTGTTGAACTAAAAATATGAAAGGTGGACAAATGGGCTAGTCTGTGTGCTGCAATAAAATAGAGCTCATTTTTCTTCTTTTACTCTCCTACTTGTCTAGCTGTGCTTGCACTGGAGACTGAGCAAAAGGAAATGTGAAACGAATAACATGATGGAATATGTAAGTTAAAGGGCTGTTTCGTGAGTTTCTCTATTAAATGATCATTTATTTTGCTTCTGATCTTATTCTTTCCATGATTATTAATCAGCAAAGGTGTCAGGAGCTTAATCTCTTGAGTGCAAGGATTTTCTACGGTTCACAGATGCATGGGTTTCATGTGCAAGACTGATTTATAAAGTTATGAATGACTTGAAAACAAGGCTTCACTGTGTTCTGAAAAATAATAAATTAATTGCCAAGATAAAATAGCCTGAACATGTGTTGATGGAGTGTGAAATTTTAGATGCTGTATAAAGAATAACCACAACTTTGGTTACGCAGCAAGTCAGATATGGCTTTTTTATATAATGCTAATCAAGTTTCCAAGTATGGAAGAAAACCTTTCAGCCAAGCCATTGGAGCTTAAGAAACCTTTAGCCTTTATAGACTTTAACTGCCTATATACCTCAGTGGACTTTAGAGAATCTCTCAGTTATTAGAATGTTGCTTTGTGAAATTATCTTAAAATTAAGAAGAGAAACTGGCCATCTTGTTTATCCTTCAAAGATACTAGTTTTGCATACATATGCTGTGATTTTAAACTTTAATTTTGTGTGACTCCCTAGTATACTTAAATGACTGTTCTCCTTTTGAGAAGTTCAGAATACTATAGGAAATTATGAATTTTCATTAAGTCTCCCTTGATCGTAAGTGCTTTATTTTAAACATGGAAAGATTATTAGCTTAAAAGAAAAGCGTTTAAGGGAGAGCTGATTGTTGAAAACTAAAAACACAGTGTTTGTGAAGTACTTGGTATAGCATTTCTGGCCAACTTTTGTCTATTCTTTGCAACAATATAACCATCATAGATTTTGTGTGTGTGTGTGTGTGTGTGTGTGTGTGCTCGTGCGCGTGCAACAAGATGTATTTAAAGAGTGTTGAAACAGTTGGAAATTATGATAAAATAATTTCCTTGTTATATTTTTCATTTGTTTAATTACCATACGGCCAAATCCCATTTTTTTCCTTGAACATAAAAGATATTTTAAGTATCTCTTCCACTGCAAACTAGCTGTATTCAGTGAATTTAATAATATAGGTTTTAGCTTTAGCCATTATATCAAACGTTAATTTATGATGATGAGAAAGAAAGATACTTGATACCTCTTTATAACCTTAAAAAAACACATTTGAGTAATGTGTTTTAAGGTTGACCCATGTATTTTTTTTATGTATGTATTTGGAAACCAGAGATAGGAAATTTAAACAGTTTTATGAAAAATAATGCAATACATTTAAACCCAACACAGTTTAAAACTGAAGTTTTAATTGTTTTTTGTGTGTTTTTAAATTCACCTTAGAAAGGAAAACAAAGCTATTCCTGAGCTGAGGTTTAGCTCAGTGGTAGAATGCTTTCTTTATCAAGTGCAAGGCCCTGGGGTTGGATCTCCAACACTGAAAAAAATATTTCCAATGCTATGATTTCCAAGGAAATCTTGCTATGTGATTTTCTTTGATTCACAAAATATACTTAAAATTTTGTTAACTAAAAATTAGTAATCTAAAACATTCTAAAGTATGTGTTTGTAAAATTACTTCCCTAAATTTACATGTTTTCCATGATTAAGCACCTTTAAAGCCAATCTTCTTCCCATTATAATAGAAGAAATATAGAGGAGTAGTAAAACAAAGTATTAAAAAATTGTCTTAAAAATAAGGATTGCTAGATTTCCTAAGACATATATATTTCTGTAGTTGACACAGGAAAAAAGTGTAGTTTTAAAAACTCCCTAAAAATGCTGGGCTCACGCCTATAATCCTAGCTCCTAAGGAGGCTGAGATCTGAGGATTGCAGTTGAAAGCCAGCCTGGGCAGGAACTTCTTTGAGATTCTTATCTCTAATTAACCACTAGAAAACTGAAAGTGGTGCTGTGGCTCAAGTGGTAGAGCACTAGCCTTGAGCTGAAGAGCTCAGGGGCAGTCTCGGACCCAGAGTTCAAAACTCAACAACCCACAAAAACAAAACAAAAACAAACCAAAAAACGCTCCCTTAAAAATAATTTTTCAGGGAGTCCTAAAAATGTCTCAATATCACACAGTATCACAGTAAGATAGTAACCTAATTATCCCATGTTGTTTCTTAACTTTTCTGTAACTTACAGATATGTCTCCTTGATTTATCTACACCTCATTGATTTTTGGACATTAGAGATAATCTGGAAAAATACCAGTTCAAAATTAACTTTTCTTTATTCAGATATGATAAAGAGGTGTACAATTTAGAAGAAAGAAGACAGTGGCTAATTTCCGGGTGTGGTTTGTGAAGGAAAAGAGCTTAAAGGATATTGTTCTTTAAGAACTAATAATTCAAATATAGTCCAGTATAGTCTATAATTTATATTATGTAGTTTACATTATAAAATGTGAAAAAGTTAAAATTACTGTTGGAGGACGTACTAGAAATAAGGAAGTGTTGTCTTCAAAGTGAATTTTTTTTGGGTGGGGTAGGGGGTTCAATTGTGGGCCTTGAACTCAGGGCTTGGGAACTGTCCCTGAGCTTTTTTTGCTCAAGACTAGTGCTCTATCATTTTGAGCCACAGCGCTATATCCTGTTTTCTGATGGTTAATTGGAGATAAGAGTCTTATAGACGTTTCTGCCCCAGCTGGCTTTAAACCAGGATCCTCAGATCTTAGCCTCCTAAGTAGTTAGGACTATAGCTATGAACCAACCAGGTCCTGGCTTGAAAGTGGATTTTAAAGTAAATTAAATTTGTTTTAATACTTTTTTATTGTAAAGATACTGTACAGAGGAGTTACAGTTACATGAGTAAGGTAATGAGTACATTTCCTATCGAGCATTGGTACCACCTGTTAATTAAATTTTAAAGCATTAGAACCTTTTCACCTACACTAGTCCCTTTATTATTATAGGTGAAAAGCCTGAGGAATGGAGATATAGCTCAAATGAAAAAGCTAGGTGGAGAATAGTTGCACAGGATGCTAGGACATGTGTTGTGAGTAAATAACAAGTCCAGAGAATGGCAAACATGGCTCTGCAGGCTTAGTTGTAGGCTAACTGGAGCAGGATGAAGGTTTTTGAGGCAGATATAGAAGGCAGAGCAAAAACTAGTAGAACTCAAGGGTAAAAATGAAGATTCTTGCCTCAGATGACTTAAGTTGCATATGTTGTTCAGATGTGGAAATCATATCAAGACATAGTGTCTTGAAGAAAGAATTAGTTTACCACATGTGGAAATTATTCAGGTCAAATATATATATATATATATATATATATTTATCAGTATATGTTTTATGTAGAGTTGAAGCAAAAGAGTTAATTGTAATTTAAGACAGATCAAGTTGAATAAAAATTATCCCTGACCCCCTTGTGTATTTTAGTGTTACTGTGTTTTCTTGCTCATTTTCCTTCACTTAACTATTAAAAGTCTTTTGGGACAAATTACTTTTGCTAATCTAAGAAGAGAACAATTTAAAAATGAAAGCCAGTCGCCAGCCTAAGGTACACATATATACATATGCTTCTCCCCCCTGCCGTGTGTGTGTGTGTGTGTGTGTGTGTGTGTGTGTGTGTGTGTGTGTGTGTGTGTGTGTGTGTGTGTGTGTGTGTGTGTGTGTGTGTGTGTGTGTGTGTGTGTGTGTGTGTGTGTGTGTGTGACTTCACATTCTTTATCTAGAGATCACAAATCCTGGTAGGTAAAATAGGAGCAACTTTAGAATTTAGAGACCTTGATAAAAGAGTGGGAACATGAGCTGGGCACCCATAGTCTTGTCTGTAATCCCAGCTACTTAGGAAGCTGAGATCCAAAGGTAAGTGGTTCAGAGCCAGCCTAGGCAGAAAAGTCTATCTCCAAAATAACTTGGAAAAAGCAGGGCTGAGATGTGGCCCAAGTGTTAGAGAACTACCAAGCAAGCAAACTGAGCCATCATGAAACTTGAGTTCATATCCCAGTATCTACCACCCCCCTCCACCCCAAAGATCTATGAATAATAATAGTGTGGAAGCATGAAGATTATTGATCAGCTGCAGTCCTTTAGAACAGTAGAAATAAGGCAAGGCAAGACTTGAAGTTACGACTCTTGATCGCATTCTGACTCCACAATCTATGATGTTACAACTAGAATCATTGTTTTTCTCATCTAAAACAAGGATGATAATTACTGGGATTAAATAAATCTGTGGACCATGAAAAACTTGACGTGCAGGTAGCCTCCTGTTCTCATCCAGGCATGCATGTTTGTGCATGTGCTCCTCCACTGTCAAAGGAATTGTAAAGTTATAAAGTTTTCCTTATGAGAAAGAAGTTTTTATATTTGGTAAAGATGCAGAAATAAACTACATTTTCAATGTGAGGTTCTAGGTTATCAGATAAGTGTCTTTAAGAAAACAAAGTTGTAGTTTTGAAAAGTAAATAGAATTTTTAAAAAATTACAAGATATAGTATAACTAAAGTTTTAAGATAATTGTCTGTTCAAATCTTTGAAACCTTTTTCTTCTGCATTTACAGGTCATCCTCATAGAATTTTTACCAAAGACACCGATTTTTCGACCAGATTAGCATTTACTTTATTTATAGAGACTTTCCAAGTATGTTGTCTTTCCAATGGTGCCTTGCTTGGTGCTCTCCTGGTGGTGACATAACATTGGTTCTACAGAATTGTGTGGTGTTTTTGTTTTGTTTCTGTTTTGTTTTTGTTTTTAAATAACCGCATGTTCTATGTGTGCATATTTGTCAAACTTTGCAAGTTATTTCATACAGATGTTTAATACTTAAGTTATTGTGCTCTTTTCTGTTATGTATTCTGATTTTCAAGGATTACTTTTTTGTATTCTCAAAAAAAAAATACATTTGAACTTAGCATAAAAAGTGGCCAGCCTTTTTTATTTTATCACCAAGGTACACACAGCCCTGTATTTATAAATTCTTAACGTAGAAAAACATCTTTCTAAGTCTCTACTTGTTTATTCTACTGAGCACACTCTTTATATTAAATTTTTCTTCCCTTTAAAATAGTAATTATTTTTAAAATAGTAAGTTTTCTTTAATAGCCTTTTGAAACCTGACATGTCCTTTCTCTTATAGTTCCTAATGCTCTGTTTACAGCAGATATATCTGTTAACATTATGAAGACTTGTCAAAAGTTTTGAAAATATTTCTGTCTTCAAAGGTAGGAAGGCAGGATTAAATTATTTTTATTAAAATAGACAAATCAATGGCTGGTATGCATGTATCTAATGGTTGCTAGAGCTCAGGATCACAAAATATAATAGCATCATAATCTGTTTATATTTTTGATTGATCAGAATGATATTAATAATGGCCTTATATGGGTTATTTTTTATTGTCATTAAATCTTCTATACAAATGTATGGACATAATTCTTTTAAAGTTTTCTAAGAAAAATATTTCTCTTAATCTGACAGTAACTGTAGGATGGACATAATGGTTCTGAAGAGTGTGGGGAAAAGTGAGTAAAAGTTATAGAATTAAAAGTAAGTTGGTATTTAGTACCTCATCAATATTTAGAACAGCTTATTACTAAGAAATGGAGCACTTAGTACTGTTTTTATCCACCCTATGGTCTCACCTTCAATCCAGTTATGTGTACGACTTTTTTATTGAAGATGTGACATGTAAGTTTGAGTCAGATGAGCTTATTGCTTTTAAACACACACACACATATATAACTATATCTTATTTCCTTTGGGTTGTACATATCTCCATGCATTTAGAACTTTATGAATGGCCTATCTGTACGTTTATGTTTTTATATGGCTAAAACAATACACGTTTTAATGTGTCAACAACTTGTTCCCTATGGCTGTGGTATCGAGCAATAATGTGAATAATTTTTGAAATTATATGAACTGTGCTTAATAATTTGTATTAAGAATTGGTACCACTATACCTTTTTTCCTTGTATTAAATCTTTTAAATACCAGTTTCATTAATTAATATACCTGTGGTTTTTTTTTAAGTATTTCTTTGTGCTTCTCCTAAGTACTGTACTTTTCTCTATATATTTGAATAGTTAAGTGCCAGTATCTTATATCCTGTTTCTGTATTGGGCATTAGGAGCAATCTTAAAACTAAAATTTACAACAGTTTTTGTCTGAGAATTATTGGTTTCTGTTGCCTCACACACCCAAATACTTAACAAGTTGGATTTATATAACACTTTTTTGTGAAGTGTACAAAGTAAAAAGAACTCAAATACTTCTCACTTTTATTTAACTTCTGTTTAGATTGTGTCATACCACCTTAAAGTAGTGAAACTAAAAGTACTGCTTCCCCAAAGCCCCAGTAATTCCTGTGGTTTCAATGTGAAAATTCTGTATATCCATAAAATACTCAGCCTCAGGATTCAAAAAAGCATAAAAATGTAATGACTTTGTAGACTATGCAGCAGTACATCATAGAGAACTATAGTGACCAGCTATTTAACGTAATTTTTCTTCTATCCTAATTAGTCTTTTGTCACTTATGATTTTTATTTTTTGTGCAGTTGCATAAAAATTCTCTAGGAATGTGTATTCTTTTTTTTTTTTTGGTTGGTCATGGGTCTTGAACTCTGGGTCTGGGCACTCTGTTCCTGAGCTCCTCAGCTCAAAGCTAGCGCTCTGCCACTTGAGCCACAGCACCACTTCTGGTTTTCTAGTGGTTTATTAGAGATAAGAGTCTCATGGAGTTTCCTACCCAGGCTGGCTTTAAACAGTGATTCTCAGATCTCAGCCTGCTGAGTAGCTAAGATTACAGGCGTGAGCCACCGGCACCCAGCTATAATGGAATATTTTGAAATCAAGCACTATAGTATGATGTTTTTATTATCATTTACAAAGCACTTCTGATTGTTACTTCATTCGAGTACATTGACATTCATTTGTGACATTAGTGATATGTATAGTTGGACTTAAAGTTGCCTGAGTTAGTTTTATGTAATTTTTTACATGTGATTCAGTTCTCACGGACTTGGCTTCTCAGCCAAGTACCCATTAGCTACATGCCTCATTTCCACCATAAGTATCTGCTGTGACTTGCTGTTCATCAGTAGTACTAAATGAAAAATGTATTTAAAATTATTTGACCCTACTCTAGCATCTAGTCCTAGACTCCTTGTACTTGTTGGAAGTATTGTGGATCTCTGTGTGTGCATGCATGTAAGCAGGAAAGATGGGAAACTACTCTGCCACTTCTCCCTCCCTCTGCCTCTTCCTCCTTCCCTCCCTCTGCCTCTTCCTCCTTCCCTCCCTCCCTCTCTCCCCCCTCCATTCCTTCCTTCCTTCCTTATTTGTAGCACAGACTGGTCTTGAATTCAGTATATTTGGGTTCAGTTGATAGAGTACCAGCCAATAAGTGAAAGTATTTGAGTCCCAGTTTTGGACCAAAGAAAAAAGAAAGGAAGAAAGAATGAAGTATATTGAACTCTATCCTCTTACCTCAGTCTCTCAAGTGCTGAGATTAGAAGCAGGTCCCACCATGCCTACCCTCTGACATTCTTAACTAGGTGTTTAGAAGACCAACTAAAGTGAGTCACAGTAAGTTGAGTAGTTTGACACCTTCAGTTCTTCAAAGATGGTAATTGAATTTTTGTTGTTATACTGGTGCTGGGGTTTGAACTGGCCCTTGTGCTCTAGGTACTTTACCACTTTAGGCAGGTCTTCAGTCTGGCATTTTGCTAGTTAGTTGGGGATAGAATCCTGCGTACTTTTTTTTTTTAAACCAGGGCTGGCTTTCAACTATGATTTTCCAGGTCTCGACCTACACTTTAGAACTACAAGCTTGAACCACTAGTTCCCTGCTATTATTATTATTATTACTACTACTACTATTATTATTTTGTCGGTTGTGGGGCCTAAACTCTGGGCTTGGGCACTGTCCTTCAGCTCTTCAGCTCAAGGCTAGCTCTCTACCACTTGAGCCACAGCACCACTTGTGGGTTTTTCTGCTTATGTGGTGCTGAGGAATGGAACCCAAGGCCTCATGCATGCAAGGCAACCACTGAGCACCGTCCTACCCCCTGCTATACCTATTGTAAAAGAATGTATACAATGGTCCAGTTGCTGTTTTGCTTCTTGGTAGATCCTGTCTGTTCATACTTTATACACAGGAAGGAAGGATAGAAAAATGGACCTGAGGCTGCTTCTCAGACCACTTTGTGTGTGTGTGTGTGTGTGTGTGTGTGTGTGTGTGTGTGTGTGTGTGTGTATAGTGTGTCTGTGTCTGTCCTGGGACTTGAACTCAGGGCCTGGGTGCTCTCCCATGCTCTACTACATGAGCCACAGCTCCACTTTCAGCTTTTTAGTGATTAATTGGAGAGACTCATGGATTTTCCTGAGCTGTCTGGCTTCAAATCACAATTCTCAGATCTCAGACTCCTGAGTTGCTAGCATTACAGGTGTGTGCTTTATCAGCACCCAGCTCAAACTACTGTTTTACAAAAGTACATATGATTTGGGAGGAAAGAATAGGCCCAATTCCAAAACTATTTATGTTTGAATGGTTAACCCTACTTTCATGTTGAAATTTAGCTCTTTTTAAAAGTGAAATAATTTTTCATTGGTATAACAGCCTACCTTGTCTTTTTTTGGAAACCTTTCATATAAGTTGATATTTGAAAGACACCTTAATTCTTGAGTTATCTTGTTCTGTACATTTATGAAGCTTTTTAAAATTTATTTTTGTGCTGGTCTTGAACTTAGGGCTTGTACACTGTTCCTGGGCTTTTTTTTTTTTCCTCTAGCACTCTTACCACTGAGCCATAGTGCCACTTCTGGCCTTCTAAGTGGTTAATTGGAGATAAGTCTCATGGACTTTCCTACTCAGGCTAGTTTCGAACCTCAGTCCTCAGATCTCAGCCCTTGAGTAGCTAGGATTACAGACATGAGCCACCTGCACTGGGCTCTATAAAGATGCTTAGATAGCAGCTTGAAAGATTACTTACTGTTGATTAATTGCAGTTTGGTATACCTGGTTCTGGAATAATGATTGGTAGTTTCCTTATAAAATGAAAAATTGAACCAACAGAGTATTCAATATTAAAAAAACTGAAAAAAAGGGAATTCTGATCTTGACTTTTAATTCTCTTCACATGTTCTAGAAGATTATCAAATGATTTTGCTTCTTTGTTACTATTTTTTTTATTTCCAAAGCAGGATTTTAACCACTTAATGATGTTTGAATTTTAAGTCTTGGATGTTTAGTAGAAATGAGATTACCTTTTTTTTTTCCAACTTATTTACAATGTCATTTTAAGCTTGAGTTGTCAGATTTTGCATTTGAAATGGAAAAGTCTGAGTACTTAGAATGCTTTAAGAATTGGGGAATATTAAATATACTTGAAAAATTGCTTTCTCTAAGACTTTTAAGACTATAGTAACATCTAAGATATTTGAATAATTATTCTGTTCACAGTGCTCTTAATTGGAGAATGGACTTTTTTTCTGTTAATGAAAAATAATATATTGCTTTCTTAGCTCTTTAAGAAATAGTCCTCCAGGCACCAGTGGCTCATGTCTGTAATCCTAGATACTCTGGAGGCTGAGATCTGAGGATCATGGTTCAGAGCCAGCCTGGGCAGGAAAGTCCATGAGACATGGACTTTTTGTTTTAAGCGTTTTGTTCCCTATGAATGAAATTTCTATTTTCATTCATTAAAAATGGATTTTCTTTGTTTGTTTTTTGTTTTTTGGTTGTTGTCAGTTGTGGGCATGGCTGTAAGACAGAGCCTGGGTGCTGTCCCAGGGCTTTTCGCTCTGGGTGAGTCCTTTACCACTTTGAACCACAATGCCACTTCTGGTTTTCTGGTGGTTAATTGGAGGTCAGTCTGATGGGCTTTCCTGCCTGTGCTGGCTTTGAACCATGATCCTTAAATCTCAGCCGCCTGAGTAGCTAGGATTATAGGCATGAGCCACTGGTGCCTGGCTTAAAAATGGAAATTTTTACTAAAAGGAAATATTGTTCTACTTAGCTTACTGTTATTACTTTGAGAAGATATCAAAACATTACCTTGAAAAAAGTATACTTCTATTCATTTTTTACAAAAAAAAAATATTTAGAAGAAAAACCTACTAAATAAAGGATTCAAGGAATGTGTACCCGTGTACTTGAATGGGAATGAAATAGTTTCTTAGAAGCACCAGCAATTTCTGATGGGTAGGCAGGGTTCCTTATGCTTCCAGGTAAGTATAGAAACATTTAGGTAGTACTGTAACATTCTAAAAATGAACATAACTGGTAAAATATGGAATTGAATTTCCAAGACATAAGTTATATTTTGCTTTCAAATACTGTTTTTTTTTTAGAACAAATTGTCTTTTTGGTTAGATAAATTTTTTTTTTGGCCAGACATGTGTTATAGTTGGTGAATTACAGTTAAGATACCTTACATACATGTGTGTATGTATGTATGCAAAATATAATCCCAATAAACAAAAATCTGATTTCAGCTAGGGCATGTTTAAACATTTTTGGTTAGTGTGCTTGTTTTGATTACTTGCTGTTGGTTTTGTTTCTTTAGTTCTCTGTGCATGTTGTGAGAGGAGAGAGCAACACAGAGACAGGGTCTTCCTATGTATTCCAAACTGGTCATGAACTCAGTTTTTTGCCTCAGTTTTCCAAGGGCTGAGATTACAGATGTGTACCACCATCCCAGTCTTAGTGTTTTTAGTCTATTTGTAATAAGTGATTTCAAAACGTAATGCCCTGGTCAAAACTAAAATTCACAATGTTCAGTCTATAAAATACTTTCTATAAAATTAGAAGGAAGTTTAGGTAAAATTGGAAAAGAGTCTGGAGTTGAGAAATCCTTTTAAAGAAGTTGATAGAGCTAGTAAGATGTGTGGAAATGAGTGGACGGAGTACACGGTGTACTTTCCCATGAATACATGAACACATCTTCAGCAGACACAACTTATTCATAATGTCTGGAAGTAAGACAATTACATTGGCATTATTATGAATATGAAGTTAGGACTGTGTACAATGAAGTTAAAATGTGACGTTTTCGTGGACTTTCATTCGTGTTCATGAAAGAATAAGAAAGAGCTTGCCTAGCATTCATGAGGCCCTGGGCTCTGTTCTCAGTGCTGGAGAAAGGGAAGAGGAGAACAACTTAAGTATT